CGCCATCTTTGCCGCCATCCGGGGAGAATAATCACAGACACATGCGCAGTGAGGACAAGAACGCCGTTAAGTTAGTACGTCACCAAGTACACAAACAAACAGATGAGTACTTTCATTTACCCTCCTGCAAATATCCCCCAAACATAGACTTCTGGTTACCCCGACTTTAAAACCACGTATTATTTTTTCACTTTATACAACCCAAGATTTTTTTTTTGCTGTTTTATTTAGTTCGTCTTTTATATGTTGATTTTTATCATTATCATCTTTAGCTCATGTCAGATTACGAAAGAATTCGTTCAACACGCCCTGAATTATATCGAAAGAATGGTACAGACTTAAAATGTTTCATAAAATTCGACCGGCAGCCACGCTAAATGTTCAGTCAATGAATACCGGATGGTTCTTGTATCGAAACAGATAATTTTAGGAGTACTTAGGTTTGCCTATCGCCCGGTTCAGATTCATCCGCAGTCTTTTGGACAGGAGTAGAGGTTTATTCCTTGTTTCCTCTGAAAGATTTTTTTACGGTTCCTTTTAAAGTTTACTTCAACTCTATATTTGTAACGTCTCCGCCTATACTCTGAATTTATTTATGTTCCACAAAAGGAGTAGATATGTTTGCCTATCGTCCGGTTCACAAGGGGGATAGAAGTTTGTCCCTTGTTTCCTGTTTAAGATTGGCTTTTCCTTTCCTTCTAAAGTCTACTTCAACATTATACTTCTAACGTCTCCACCTAAACGCTGAAATGTTATTTACTATTTAATTTTTTCTCAATATGAGTAGCTCGATCCACCTATCGTTCGGTTTACATACGTCTCCGGTCTCTTGAGCAGGAGTAGAGGTTTATCCCTTGTTTCATGTTTTGGATTGGATTTCCGGTTCCTTCTAAATTCTACTTTAACACTATACTTCTTACGTCTCCACTTAAACTCTGAAATGTTATTTAATATTTATTTTCCGCAATAGGATTATGTAGGTTTGTCTACCACCCAGTTCAAACTCCTCCCTGCTTTTTGGACAGGTGTAGAGGTTTATCACATGTTTCCAGTTGCCAGTAGCCCCTTGTGTCTTAGTGGCATTATCGCCTTTCTTCGGGTGATATGATTAAAAAAAATAAATTACCAGTACGATTAGCATTAGCATATCTAACTATTTCTTTCTTTACCAGCAGTGTACACGGTCTTACAACCAAGACGTGTTCTCAGTACCGAGGAAGGCTAATTCTGAATCTTATTTGAAGGTTTTGGTTTCATTTACATTAAGTCCTGTCAGCCATCCCTCTGTAAAAAAATGGAGCTGCTGCTAGGCGTAAAGGTAATTAAACTGTAAGTGTTATATATTTATATAACATTTTGTTATGAGATGAGAAAAGACTGGTAAATCGGTTAAGCAGTCTTTTTTGTTAATCGTATTGCATTTAAATATTACCACTTTACGGTAATGTTATTTTTGGTTACCTTTCTTTTTTGAACTAATAATGTAATTTATTCTTTCGATCTAATCCTGGTTTCTTGGTGTATCGTTACTACTTATGGATTTGTGACAATAGATATATTTATCACTGTTATACCATAATTATTTAATTTGTAATACAAAAAGCAAAAAAATAAATAAATAAATAAATAAAATAAAATAAAAGTATAAACGCATAACCTCGGCACATTATATTAATATTATCTACAAGCTCCATAATAAACCTGAGAGAAATTCAATATAATCACAATATAAAATCATCACAAACACTTAAAAAAGGCAATGAAAAAACAGAGAGAAAAGAACATCAGAAGCATTACCGTGAAAGTATTTAAATAAAAGTCTCAGGGAAGATACAGTACGTGTATTCAGAAAGTGACTGAATCCGAGATACCCGGTCAAGACCAATAACATTGCAGATTCTTTGGATTTTATCAAGCATCTCTAAATATGTAGCAGGGGTACCCCACCAGATGTGGTAACCATATTCAAAGAAAAGGCGAATGGTGAACTTATAAATATGTAAGATATATTCTAGCGAGAAAAATTATCTAGCACAGCATAGGTAATTAATTTTCATAACAGCAGACCTAACAATTGATTCAATATAATCTTTCCACTTATAGTGATTTTCCAAGCGTAGCTCAGATGTGGCACAAGGCCGAAAGTATGGGGTACCCAGTGAGGATCGAACTCACTACTCAGTCGCAATAGTTCTGAGCGACACAAGATTGCTAACCATTACACCACCTAGAGGTACCCAAATCTTTCCACTTATAAATAGAATCTCATAAATTGTTATATCAACGGCCTCATAAATGTTTACTCACATCAAATCAATAAGATAAAATCCAGAATAAAATACATTATTTACATTATTCGGACTATTGTCCTCATATTTGTCGCCATATTTATTACAACGTTTCGGCCGTTGTAAGCTCCGGCCTTCTTCAGGTGGTTGGAATGTCGAACTGAACCCTTTATTTCGCTCACAGGAGTAGACTGTTCTAGTTCCACGTGCTATGTTTAATAGATATCAGTTATCTCCTGTTAATTTCCCTCTGAAAGTTCTCCACTGTCTTAACCGGGCATTGAACTTGTTGACCATGTTCACCATAGAATACAGCGCAGTACATATTCTGTTCAATGGAACAACGTTAAAGATTAATACTCACGAGTCAGACTGAATCTGACTATATCGCCAATACCACCAGCAGCTGTTCCGTAATTCTTCAGGCTTCGATATCAAAGGCTGGCAGTGCGTATTCGGGAAAAACATAGCCGCATTGAATATTATCAGCCTTCTGATTGGTTAACCCTTCTATTGGTGAACTATAAAATGAGTCAGCTCATTTTGGGTGGCTTACTAGTACACCAGGGTACCCAAAAATTCCAACAGAACTCATACTCTTTGGGTCCTGTCACTGGATCTAACCAACGCCTTTATCCACTTTGCCATGTGTCCTTGAGGACGGCCGAAACGTTGTAATAAACATGGCGACAAAGATGAGGACAATAGTCCGAATAATGTAAATAATGTACATAATACCTCATCTCAGAAATATAGACAGATACCAGAATAAAATATTTTCATGGCTGTTGCTCTAATGAGCTTTGTCCCTTTGTAATCCGTCCGCATGAATTTAAAAGTACTATTAGATTGGTTACTAGGTCTTATCTTTTTACTGTTAAATTAGAATGCAACCGTACGTTCTATTCTAATAGTTGTTTTTATTTTCTCTTCCGGTTCTCGGTTGTGGAACTCTTTTCCGGTTCTTTCTTTCCGGTCACCTACAATCGTCAAAGTTTTAAATGCAACGCCAATTGCAATCTTCTGTCTTTCTTAACCCTGATCTTTTATTGTCCTTTCTCAGTAAAGTCTTCGCATTCTCTTTCACTCCCAGTAAACCCTTGCGTCTGAGTGACATTATGGCCTTGCTTGTGGTTAAATAATTAAAAAGCATAAGTTTTTGATTTACCAGACCTTAGAATTTGTAGCCCCGACTATCTAAATTTCGAAGAAAAATACAAAGAAAATATTTTAGAAATCTTCCACTGTTCTAGTTATTTCTGTATTACCAGAAACAAAACAAAAAAAAGCAAATATAAACACAAAATTTTGGTAATTTATATTAATATTACCGACACACTCCATAATAAACCTGAGAGAAATTCAGATAATCTCAATAAAAAATTATCACAAACACTTAAAAAAGCAATTAAAAATTTAATCAATGTAAGAACAGGTAAGCAACTTTACCTCAGAAGCAGGGGTCTATAGAACAAGTTTTCAACCGTTTTTGCGTCATCGTTCATTTTCACATGGAAAAATTTTCTACCACCTACCTGTATAGTAAATATTCAAGAGCATATCAAAATTGTTTGGTAAAAGTTTGTTACTGGTTCATAAACGGACTTTACGATATATTGAAAAATACCAAAGGGAGGTAACAAATAACGTTGCTACTACTGTATTAAACGACAAACGAAAGCGAACTTGACCACTGAAGTGAAAACTATATATATAATTTAGTTTTATGGTCAAAGATAGTTTTATGATTAGTGTTGCAAGTGTTGAGAAAAAGATTAAACGATTTTGTTCATAATTATAAAATTATAAAAAATATACTCTTCTAACAATTAATAAAAATTAATCGAATATTTTTTGTTGTTCTTATTTAACTTAAATATGTTATTCTATCTAAAGAACTATTTATGTCAATGACCTTTCTCAAAACTATAGAAATTTCCAAAATATTTGTTGTTTGCGGGGATATTTATATTTTATCTAAGAATGTGACCCATTTATTCACAATTAGCCTCCTATTTTTTTGTTTTAATACAAATTCTTCGCATATCTCCTTTGAATATTTTTTCAGGTAGCATATGTTGAAATATCTTTTTACTCCTCAAAATCCTATATCATCCACCAAAATTCCTAATCGTTCACCATTTTCTGCTCAGTTCCCTATCGCCGCCCCCACCAACAATTTAAATCGGCCCCCGGTAGGTGATATCGCCCAGGCTGGGAAACCTACTATAGACTCTTCTGTTGGGCTGTCTCGCCACTACTTCATCACGCTAGGTGTTACTACTGCTTTTTTTTTTTTTTTACAGGCAGATTTACTAGCTCGACGTATCGTAGGTTTTGATAACAGATTTATCCCTTTTCCGGAATGGATTCCAACCAAAGTTAAACTGCGATAGTCAGCCCATAGCTGAAGGGGATAAGAGATAGATTCGTACATTTCTAATGGTATTTGTTCGAAAGCGAACGTAACGGCCTCACCTAGAATTTGAATTCGACACATCGACTGTTTTATAGCGTCATGACGAGATATCCACGTCATCAGTGGTTATGGACCGAGGTTTGTTATCGCTTTTGATAGTACAAATTAATCCATTGTAGCCAAATTGTTCTTTCGGGTATTTTCAAAATATATTGTATTTGATAATAATAATGCCTCTTAGCTGTGCATTGATTGATTGTTGAGTTCGTCACTCCTCCATTTGTACTGGCTTCATGAAGCTGACTCGGAGGTCTCGTAGGTAATCGCGTCATTGCATGCATGACATACAGTAAACGATACACTGCGTTATTGTCATTCTACATTTTATAAATATTCGTTAGGTGATGGTAAGGTAGTAGGAGAAGGACTTCAGCAGTTGTAATTTAGTGGTAAAGTTGTAACTAACCTAATAAATAGCTGTAACTTTTTCTTTCTTTTATGCATATTTTGTTTTTTACATTTTTTTTTAATATATATTTTTACTTCTTTTTATATATTCTTTTACGGGTTTATTTCTTTTATTGACATTTTTTTTTTTTTTTTAAACTTTTCTTCGTTTTGGTACATTTCTTTCTTTTTTCTACATCTTTCTTTTGCATCCACTCTCCCTCACTTCTTACCCTTTCTTTCTTTCTTTCTTTCTTTCTTTCTTTCTTTCTTTCTTTTTATTTTTTATACATATTTTTACATATTTTCTTTTATGTTTTTTCTTTTATATTTTTTTCTTTTATATTTTTTCTTTCATATATTCTTTTACAGGCTTATCTCTTTTATTTTATTTATTTTTTATTTTTATTTATTTTTTTAGAACTTTTCTTCATTTGGTACATTTCTTTTTTGTTTGTACACCACCGTTCTTTCTTTTGCTTCCACTATTCCTCCCTACCTTCCAGCCTTTCTTTCTTTCTTTCTTTCTTTCTTTCTTTCTTTCTTTCTTTCTTTCTTTTTTCTTTCTTTCTTTTTTTCTCCTGTCCTTTCTTTCTTTCTTTCTTTCTTTCTTTCTTTCTTTCTTTCTTTTCTTTCTTTTGCCTCCTCTCCCTTTCTTTCTTTCTTTCTTTCTTTCTTTCTTTCTTTCTTTCTTTCTTTTGCCTCCACTCTCCCTTTCTTTCTTTCTTTCTTTCTTTCTTTCTTTCTTTCTTTCTTTCTTTCTTTCTTTCTTTTGCCTCCACTCTCCCTTTCTTTCTTTCTTTCTTTCTTTCTTTCTTTCTTTCTTTCTTTTGTTTATTCATTGGATGTTTCTTCTTTTTTTTCACAAATGAATTTTTTTTTGACTTGCGTACTTATGACTTCACTATATATCATTTTTAGACCATTTCATTTTTTGCATGCATCTTTCTTATTTTTTGTCCCCCACCCTCACCTTCATTCATTCTTTTTTTCTAGGTCGTTGCGTTGAATGTGTATTTTCTTTTCTGTTTTTATAATACTTTTTTTGTATTGACTCGTTACGAAATCACATTACATCTTAATTTTATTTTGGTCATTTCATTTTTTTTATAAATCTTTCATACCTATTTTTTCCATTTTTCATTCATTCATTTTTTTTTGTTCTTTCTTTTCCTGGTCTATGTGTTGACGATGTATTTTTTTAAAAATATTTTTATACTTTTTGACTTTCCTCGTTACAACTTCACATTACATTTTCATTTATTTGGTCATTTCATTTTTATCAATCTTTCATAACATTTCTCTTCCCAATATTTCTTTTTTACGTTCTTTTCCTAGACTTTGCAGTGAATGTGTATTTTTTGCCTCGTTACAACTTCACATTACATTTTCATACCTTTTAATAACTTCAATTTTTTTTATAGATCTTTTTAGTTTCTTTGTTTCTTCTTTGTTTCATTCTTTCTTTGCGTGGCTTATGCATCTTTCTTTTTCATTTATTTACAATACATTTTTTAACTTGTCTCGTTATGACTTCATTATTTGACATTATCTTTTCCTTGGTCATTTTAATTATTTTCATACAACTTTTTTCATTCTTAGTCATGTTTATTCGTTGTTTGTATATCTTTCTATTCCTTATTTTTACCAGCCGTTTTTTTTTTCAGTAGCCTCGTTATGAGTTTCTTTACATTTACATACCGTAAGTCATTCTCTTGTTTTTTTACTTTTTCTTTCTTTTTTTTTTTTTTGACCGCTACGTCCAAACTTATCTTTATTTAATTTAACCACTTCTTCTTTTCAAACTTCCAATTCCCAGTCTCTCTGGGGTTTTCTCAGTTTGAGTTGCTTTATTTCATGGCTCGATGAAAATTTCATTTATTTTAACGTTTTCTATTACATGCGATAATTTTTTTCTTTCCACTCCATAATAGTGAATTGTCTCCCTTTATGAAATCCCAGAAACTCAGGTCGTTTTTATCACATCAATTTTTTCTTTTGTCATTTCGGTTACATTGTCTTCGAGTTTTCATACAAACTTCTGTTTCCATTTTGTTAGTTAAATATTTTGCAATAATTATTATAAATTCATGTATTCATTTTTATTGTCACAGTCACAACGTCTCAGCTAGTTCTCACTGCGGTATTCTCCTGCGGTATTACCATTAATCTAATATATATATATATATATATATATATATATATATATATATATATATATATATATATATATATATATATGTGTGTGTGCACATTTCATTGAATACGACAGACAAGGTGATTTTATTTAGTTTTTTATACAATTTCTCGATGTAATAATTTTTTTGTTTTCGGATGATAAATTATATAAAAACTGTCCGAATGTTCTTTATATCTTTATTTCGGCTATACATTTAGCCATTTTCAAGGATTAAATATTTTAACTGTTAAATATTAAATAGTTTGTTGTATGTATGTTTTATAAAGTGTTTACATTTTTCAAAACACGGTCAACATATTGTGTCCATGTTCAAAGTTAATATTATTAAATGTTGGTTTATATATAATATATATATATATATTATTAATAATAATCACGAAGAAAACCTTAAATATGTATTTTGGTTATAATTTATTTCGTGAACATCGAAATATTCCTTCTTCAACCAAAATTGTCTCCATTTACTAAGAGACTTTGGTCTGAAGAAGGAATATTTCGATGTTCGCGAAATAAATTATAACCAAAATGTTGGTGCCAAATCGGGAGAGTACGGCGGGTGTGGCAAGCACTTCCCAGCCATGCGTTTGAATGGCTTCTTTGGTCATATTGGCGATATGAGATCGGGTGTTGTTGTGCAGCAAAAGAACTGCATGCTGCTGATTAGGTCTTTTCGGTCTTTTCTCTTGAATCGTCGTGTTGATTTCCACCTGTTGAACATAGAGTTCCGCGTTGACTGTTTGGTTCTCTTTAAGCAATTTGTAAAGGATAATCTCTTCCTAGTGCCACCATACGCCCAACATGAAAATGATCTTGTTTTACGCGCGGTGTCACTTGTTTACCGGGGCTAAGCAATTCCTTGCTCTTCTTCATATTGATGTACAGGCACCATTTTTGTCACCTGTAACGATTCAGTAAAGAAATCGTTTCTTGTGTCCATGAGTTGAGCGGTGACGAGCAAGCAAACTAGCGGAGATTGTGGCTTGTTGATTTTTGTTGTTGTCAATTAAAGCAAGTGGAAGCCATTCTCCACTCTTCTGAACTTTTCTCATCGAGTGAAGATGCTTCTCTATAGCAGTGTGGGAGCATTCCATTTTCTCTGCCAGTTCCATTGTCGTTTGACGAAAAGTTTCGTGCAAAAGTTGGTTTAATCGTTCTTCATCGAACTCAACTGGACGACCAGAACGAAGTGCGTCTTTGAGGACAAAATTTCCATTTTTGCTCTTGGCATACCAATCACGAGTGGTTCTTTCAGCTCTGGCATCCTTTCCAGAACCTTGATTAAAAGCAAAAAGAAGGAGGTTGTCGAAAATGCTCATTTTTCTTAACTTGACATTCCATTTTAATGATCTGAAAATAAACAGAAATTACCTTAAATTTAAGAGATGGATGTCGGAAGGTCCTAAGTTAGGTGGTGCTGAAAAAAATGGAAACTGCTGTAAGGAATTGACTACATCAGCAGGCAGTCGAGTTTTACAAAGCTTTGTTGTATGCTCTCATTCGTCAGAGGAACACTACCATTGAAATAGGTGGTGACTATCTTGAGAAGTAGGGATGTGAACCTGTGATGTATAGCTATATCTTGATGCACGATTATCTTGCTTATTATAAAACGCAGATTGTGTGTGTGTGTGTGTGTGTGTGTGTGTGTGTAACGTTTATATATTGGATCGGATTTCCTACATTTTTCAACCGATTTCGACAAAACTTCACAGGACTACATAAAATTACCTTGTGGTGGTTCTAACAGCGCCAAAAAATGGGAAAAATATAATTGTTTTTGCACAAAATCAATTTGAAAACACGATTAAGAGACATCGTGAAAATGGAAGGGGGACAACTCACATCGGATTTCCTATATTTTTCAGCCGATAAAACAAAACTTCACTTTTTTTTTTTGGCAGGTAGTGTTTCTTATTCTCTTGCACAATTTTTTCTTTATTTTTAACATTGAGAATGCTTTTAAAATTCCATTTACAAGACAATTATTTATAATAAAATTCTATTCAATCAGTAGACTCATAACGATTGAAAACAATGTTTTTTTTGTTTGAGTTTGACCAATTCGTAAAAAAAATAAAAAAAATAATTAAGACATGCGTGTCCGTCAACCTTAAACAATAATCTAACGATCTCTACTGATTGTACGAATACAAACATAAATTCTTTATCTTTAGGGAAAGATAATGAAATCTAAACATACACAAGTCCTAACTAAAAATAATAACCGGAACGGGAAACTACTTTAAATACACATGGTGTCCAATTTTTTACTGTATTCAATAAGTAAAAATCATAAACTGTAAAAGATTATTATTACAGAAAGGCTACTAAATGAATAAGATTTGTTAGATCATAATTAATAAACCCAAATAAAGTTAATATTTTTTGTATTAGAAACAACGAGTGGAAAATATATTCAAATCAGAATTCTAATTATGAATCACCACAAGCAAAATATGCAATTTTTTTTTACTGTATTCAATAAGTAAAAATCATAAATTGTAAAACTAAAAGATTGCAGAAAGGCTACCTACATTTTTCAACCGATTACAACAAAACTTCACTTTTTTTTTTTTGGCATGTAGTGTTTCTTATTGTCTTGCTTATTGTCTCAATCGGTAGAGACTCATAACGATTGAAACCAATGTTTTTGTTTGAGTTTGGGTTTGACCAAATGCGTAAAAAAACAACAAAAAAAATAATGCGTGTCCGTCAACCTTAAACAATAATCTTTGTCAATTTTATTTTTCAGTCTTTATGATGGTGGATACTTGATCTATCCCTTACTGTTATATCCCCGGGCAACGCCGGGCTCTACTGCTAGTATATATATATATAATGATTAATTCGTTACTTGTCGTTTCGCTGACGGCAAGACTCTCAAAATTCAAATCTAAATTGTTTCCTTATTTAAAATGTTACATTTATCAGAAAACATACTCAGTTTAAACACAGAAAGATTTCAAAGACTTGCACTTTTTAGCTGATGTACTTTTCCTATTAACCAGGTATTGTTAGCGGACAAAAAATTGACTTTCATGACACAGATGCCCATTTTGCTTTCATTTAAATTGTGTATGTCTCTGTACGCTTGCGTGTGCGCATGTCCATTTTAATTCTGTGAGAGAAATTAAAGTATTTCCATAGAATAATAAGAAAAAAATAAATTCAAAATAATTCTGTTTATTACCAAATATTTCCAGAAAGTTGAAAAAAAAGTCTGATAATTATGTTTTTTAGGGTTTAAAAAAAATGAAAGTTTTTCTTCTTTCAAACATTATGATATTTTTGCTCAGCCCAGGATAGAGGTTGTCTAGACTTCGTTGACAGGAACTGTATTATTCCAGTGGCTTTTTTCCAGTTGAATGTTTTATTTATATTATTTATATTCGGGCTATTGTCCTCACTTTTGTTGCTGTTATCACAATGTGTCGGCCGTTGTGCCCTCTGGCCTTCATCAGGTGTATATCGATCAAGATTGTTAGATTAAATAGAGTGTTCAGTTCAGAATTCGCCGTAAGTTAACCGTATTGATATGCAACTGATGAAGTCCGGAGGGTACAACGGCCGAAACGTTGAGATAACAACAAGAAAGATGAGGACAATAGCCCGAATAGAAATAGTGTAAATAATTATAACTCCTTATTTCATAAATTCAGAGAGTCAAGTACGTTTTACGCGAAACGAACAACGGGCTTTGCAGGACACCGCTGGCAAGCAAAACAAGAACTGCTCTGGACATTTAGACATGGACCAAGACGGGTTGGTGGTCCAAAAAACACCTACACTGCCCAGCTATGTTACGACACAGAATGCAACACTAATGACCTTTCGACCTTGAAGTAGGAAGGTGATGTTTGGCATGATAAATAAGTATTTAGCTTGTTAGGAAAGATGCTTATTTTACAAAAAAAAAATATGTCTTTTTCAATAGAATTTATTTTTTTAACAATGCATTTTATTCATTGATTGAAAATTAATCAATGAAAATTTAGAATCAAGATTTAGTTAATTACAGCATGTCAAGCTATTACTTACATGTACATCCATCAAATCAACTTATATATATATATATATATATATATATATATATATATATATATATATATATATAAGTGAACATAGAAGTCAACACTTAGGGGCGACAGTCTGTTTCAGGCCTAACGATTGCATCTAGCAGGAAACAGGCTGTCGCCTCTAAGTGTTGACTTCTATGTTCACTTTTATATATGTTCACTTTTATATTTACACCATCTATCTTTGATATTGAGCACTTTATTCCATAAATATAGCACATCTTAAGACTATATTTCTTCATATATATATATATATATATATATATAAATATATATATATATATATAGAAAAAGTTTGTTAGCAAGTAGCGTCCTTCAAATCCATGTTCGGTAATAAATTTATTTTGATGAAACAAACAGTAATTTTAATTTATTTGTAACAAACAGTTATTTCTGATGAAAAATTGAGGACAATTTGAAATATCAAAATATATATAAATAAATAAATAAATACTTTCATGAAATAAAACATTATAATTTTTAATTTGAAACTTTTCTATATATACATATTAAGAAAGTATACGTGGCTTCATTATCTATTATATATATATATATATATATATATATATATATATATATATATATATATATATATATATATATATATATATATATATATATATATATATATATATATATATATTATAATTAGGCAAAAAAACTTAAAATCCATGTTCGGTAATAAATTTATTTTGATGAATATAGGTATATTCATCTCTCAACAGACCGGCTACATTTTCTGAGATGGAATGAATATATCCAGACGGACAGATATACAAGGATAAAAACGAAAGCAAAAAAAAAACAAAAAAATACAAGATGAAACAATAGCAAAAATAAATTGACTACGAAAAATTCCTTATGGAGCTTAGACTAAGAAGAATAAAGTTAACATAACGAATAAGGGAAGCTAAGAGGATCAAAATTAGTTATAATGTGCCAAAATAAAGTTTAAAAATTGAGGCGGTTCAAGTAATGTCTGCATAGACGCATCATCATCATCCTAAAAGATACAATCATCATCACATAATACCCTATTATTATTATTATTATTATTATTAATAATAATAATAATAATAATAATAAATACAAAAAATTGTTCTCACGAGTACAGTCCACACCTTACGAAAGGCTTTATCTACGTAAAATATGTGTTTGTATTTTTCTTTAATTGGTCAGTGGAAAATGTCGTGATGCCATTTCTAAACTTAGGTCTCTGGGCGGGACCCGGAAAGAAATGTGTACACACCAGAAATCAAAGGAAATAAAAGAATAATATTACTAAAAAATAAAATAATAAAATATAAAAACAATATAATATAAAACATAAATATATACATATATACCTATATATAACAAAAAATTTAAATTATAAGTGTGCGTGAGTGTGTGTGTGAATCGATTATCCCATCAAGAATGCGCTTTGCAGGCGTGCAAAACAAGAACTTCTGATCCGGACCCCTAGCTGTAGCTCCCAGCAACTAACTACATTGACCAACTATGTTATGACAAAGAATGACCTTCCGACCCTGATAGCTAGACCGAGATAGTTGGCGTGATAAACTCATGAATGTTCGAGATTGCTCGACCGAAAAATACTAATACATTAAATGATTCAATCACATATAAGTCATACGCGCGGTATACGGGAGAACGAATAGGCATTATAAACGAGTTTGCAAAGTCACATACAGATAATGTATATAGAACCAACGTTTGGTTTATAACTGAGATTAATGTGAATAGAGGTCTTCTAAAATCTTAATATATCCTACCGTGACGAGTGGCTTTGCTTCTTATTCTAGCAGTTTCTTGTAGAGGACACACATAGAAAACAAACTGCAATTTTATCCTTGTACGCCAATGTGAAGAGTGGCCAGTATAATTATTATTGTTGACTATTACACAGGATCTGATCTCTGCTTAACGACATCGCTTCCTTTCGCCTTAGCACCGCATTCGTTTGCTGGACCGCTTTCTCTTGTAATATCCCAACCGCGATGCCCTACGGCGATCCGCCAACACGACGAAGAATGCCCACTTGGCGACTACGCGGGGCGCCCCAGGCGAATGTATTCTCCGGATATGAACTTCTTCTCGCAGTCCATGTGCGGCTTTACACTACAGCAAAAAAAGATGCAACACTACAATATGAGACGTTAAGTTCTGTCTTGTGTACAGAGCGAAGCATTGTTTAACAGTTAGGCAGGTGTCCCACCCATGCAACCATTGGAGCAGAAGAAGTAACAGCAAATATAGAAATATTATAAAATGTCTATATTAGCGTTTCATATATATATATATATATATATATGTGTGCGTGTGTGTGTGTGTGTGTGAGAATGGATTAAGAAAGTCCATAGTTTGAAACGTAGTTTCCATCTGAATTCTAATTCGGCATTGAAAATAAAATAAATTATCTTAAAAATATCTATTGTCCAAATTATGCCTTTTTAACATAAGAAGCAAGAGTATCTTCGTTTATTTAACTATATCTTGATGTACATGTTGATATATATATATATATATCATTTATTATAATTTCTCAATTAGACAAAAACATTTCCTCACTACAAAGATGGAACTTCGTTTCGGTGCATTTCAATTGCATTTCGACTGGTGAGAACCAAAATTATTTATCGAGATTTCTAGACCAACTTTGTTGTGGGTAAACTGTTTTTGTGTATATAATAAAATTATAATAAATAATTATAGCTCTACTATCGGTATCGAGCCCTCTTTTGGATTAATGCCGTGAACGTTAGAATTTATATATTATTTTCATTCTCGTTGCATTGGATATGTATATATCTCTCTCTCTCTCTCTCTCTCTCTATATATATATATATATATATATATATATATATATATATATATATATATATATAATTCATGGAATCTAGAAAAAGAAAACTCAACAGAATGCGGAAAACACTGGACGGCCGCTTTGTCCTTTTTAGGTCTCATCAGCAGATGATGAGCCTCAAAAAAAGACGAATCGGCCATCCAGTGCATTCTGTTGAGGCTTCTTATTCTAGACTCAATGAATTATGTGAAATTAATTATATATATATATATATATATATATATATATATATATATATATATATATATATATATATATATATATATATATATATATATATATATTATATATATATATATATATTCATCATACTTGAAAAGGTACAAAGGACGTCATATGTAATGACGGTTTCCATTCGGAGAACGAAAGTTCGAATCCTGCCGAGAACCCATATTCTTTACTAATAAGTTTTCTATAATATTCAGGCCGGTTGACAATATATATATATATATATATATATATATATTTGAAAGGTGTTTATATATATATATATATATATATATATATATATATATATATATATATATATCTACTCAAATATGGAGTATCCACTAAAAATAAAGAGTATCCACTAAAAATAAAAATTATTCCTTTAAAAATAAATAAAAATTATATATTATATATATATATATATATATATATATATATATATGAATCATCATATAGCTTGATGTGCTATACCAGTTAGAGAGCTAAGTTCAATTTACTGTTTTTAAAACAACAAATTTCCCATGATTTTTTTTCGAACCTTCATATCTGCTCGAGGCGTATCTTAACGTAAACAAATGACATCATATATTATGAAATGAACTAAGTTTGAAAATTATTTTTATATCTTTTCTGTTTATACCTTACAAATCATGGCAAATTTTTTTTAAAACAGTAATTTGTAATAATAATAATAATACTGTTTATTATAAACAGGCGCTTTCTTTGGAGCTAAATGTTATAGCATGTCAGTTTATATCACGGTTCTATGTATGATATAGGTTCGATTCACGCCGGGGGACATATTGTTCTCAAACATTCAAGCTGGTAAGTGTAGTTAATACTGTTTATTAATAACAGAGCATTTACTTAAATATTTGTATCTATAAAAATAACGTGTAACCCGAAAATCTATTAAAATAATTTCCATTTCCTAACATATGTGTGTGTGTGTCGTTGAACAAAATAATGGGTAGCTGATATGCAGACCAACCCGGTTCATGATCAAGAACCTGAGACACACAGACGGCACAGTTCCCAGCAGTTATAGACACTAACATATATTTTATATTAGCATGGCTGATGCTAACCTCCAAAAGAGTGATTCTTTGCGCCCTCTTGGGCTGACATTTTTCACTGACAAGTGGAAAGATTATATTAAATCCATTGTTCAGTCTGCTACCCGGAAAGTTGGTTCAATCTATCGTGATCGACAATTTTTCTCGCCAGAATCTATCTTGGATATATATATGTCTATCATTCGTCCATGGTTTGAATATTGCTGCCACATCTGGTCTAGTGCTCCTGCTATATATTTAGATATTTTTGATAAAAATCCTAAGAAGAATCTGCAATGTTATTGAATCTAACCTGACATCTCGGCTCCAGTCACTTTCCCACCGCCGTAAGGTAGCTTCCCTGTGTCTTTTCTATAAATACTTTCATGGTAATTGTTCCGATCAACTTTCCTCATAGTACATAGACTGTATGAATTTAAGCGCAGTGGTAAATTGGCGGCAAGGTCTCATCAATTCACAATAGAAATGGGTAGATGTAACCGCAAGTTCTACGCTAGCAGCTCCTTCTATCTCACTTATGGCTTGTAAAAATCTCTTTCGGCTTCTGGCTTTCCAGATTTGAACTTCAAAAATTTAAATGTAATGTAAGTCGCTATTGACATAATTCGGACTATTGTCCTCATCTTTGTTGCCATATTTATCACAACGTTTCGGCCGTTGTACGCTTCAGCCTTCTTCAGGTGGTTGCAATGTCGAACTGAACCCTTTATTTCGCTCGCTGGGGTAGATTGTTCTAGTTCCACATACCATGTCTAATGGATGTCAGTTATCAGTTATCTCCTGTTAATTCACCTTTCCAAGTTCTCCGCTGCCTTAACCAGGGGTCCTGTCACTAGATATAACCAACGCTTTTATCCACTGTGCAATGTGTCCTTAAGAACATCTGTGCATGAATTTCTGGGACTTATAAACTTAATGTCTTCAGCAACCATTTTCACCAGTGTTCATATTGCAATATTGCTGTTATCACTGCATGTTTTTTTTTACCAGAGCTTATATCGCAATTTTCTTTGTTATTATTGCTTTTCTCTGGCACTCCTTATTACTGGTTCCCATATTATATTCATTTCTATCCCTGGTCGGCTCAGGAGATTTTTGTAGCCGAACTTGGAGAGGTGAATTAACAGGATATAACTGATAACTGACATCCATTAGACATGGCACGTGGGACTAGAACTGTCTACACTAGCGGGCGAAATAAAGGGTTCAGTTCGACATTCCAACCACCTGAAGAAGGCCGGAGCGTACAACGGCCTAAAGGTTGTGATAAATATGGCAACAAAGATGAGGGCAATTGTCCGAATAATGTAAATAGTGTACATAATACCTCATCTGAGAAATATAGACAGATACGTCAATCGTTTTCTTCTGTCTTCTTCAGTCCTGTTCTTTTATCGTTCTCAAGTGACTGTCGAATTTTTCAGACCCTCTTTTCTCATTATGCACCGGAGAAATAAATTTCTACTGTCTTTTTCTGATTTGATGTATAATTGTCCTTGATGCGACATAAGATCTTAATTAAAGTGGGGTTTTCCAAAATTCCTGTAGCTCTCTAAATCATTCTTCTTACATTTTTGTTCAGTAGTAAGATACAGTTGGAAGAGGGATCCCCTGTACCAAGACTAAATATTTAAAAAAATAATTTTATCCCACTAATGCCACTCATACGCAAGGAGATCCTAAGAGTGAAAAACGTAAGAAGAGGTTAGTCAGGAAAAAAGGACAATACCTGTAAAACGTTTCAAGAAGTGATAGCGATTGATGTTGCATTTAATTTTTTGATGATCGTAGGGGAGAAGTAATGAAGAAGCCGGAAGACAGTTTCCCAGGCAAGAATTACAAGAGAAACATTAAGAATAGAAATTGTGGTTGCTATTTCAACAGTAAAACGATAAATCTTCGTTGCAAATCTAGTACTAGGCTTCAATTCATACGGTCGAGATACCAGAGGGGAAAGGCCATTAGAACAATTGCCATGTAAATATTTATAGAAAAGACACAGGGATGACACGTTACGTGGGTAGGAAAAGTGACTGGAGCCGATGTGCTAGGTCCGGGCTGATAACATTGCAGATTCTTCTTTGCGTTTCTCGTTTATCAGAAGGTTTTATATTCTCTTGCTGCTGAAAAATGCAACTGATTTATGCAAATATAGGCAACAAATAGCTTCTTTTTTTTTTTTTTTAAAGGCAATTGAAATGCAGAACAGAGGTGGGGGAGGGTCTTCGGTACTAAATCTTGTTAATTGACGACCTTCAGCAATTACCATGAAAATATTTGTAGAAAAGACACAGGGATGACACGTTACGTGGGTAGGAAAAGTGACGGGAGCCGATGTTCTAGGTCCGGGCTGATAACATTGCAGATTCTTCTTTGCGTTTCTCGTTTATCAGAAGGTTTTATATTCTCTTACTTACTGCTGAAAAATGCAACTGATTTATGCAAATATAGGGAACAAATATCTTCTTTTTTTTTTTTTTTTTTTTTTTAAAGGCAATTGAAATGCAGAACCGGGAGGGGGTCGGGGTCTCCGGCGCTAAATCTTGTTATGTGACGACCTTCAGCAATTAACGATCAATTTAGAGTTGTGAAAACGACTGATCTGAGAGATGACTTGCGGTCTTCTATCGCAAATGAGAGAGCCAGACGCCAGTCTTGCTTGCCACCAAGACTTTGTATCCGTGAGAGCCACTAACCGATCATTTATATCGGTGCCATGAGCGGTGAAATTCCCTTGGAGTCGACGAAGACTTCTATCGTTCCGTGACTAGGCGCTGATGACTTTCGCATCCTCGGCCGGATCTGTGTGACACGAAGCATGCCCCATAAATGTCTATCATTTTGTCAGACAAACTGTACTCGCAGATTAATAACACATGCCCCGAACAAGATAAGCGACTTTTGCACAAGAGGAGAAAACGCGAACATACTAACACGTGTACGGACATCGTTAACACGTGTAACCGATATAAGAATTCATGATCCAGTGACTAATTGCAAAGAGACACAGTTACAAGTCCTGGCGCGTGCAAATGCGAAACATTAAAACGGACATACAGATTTAACCACACATATGCATACACATTTATCGACAAACACGTATACAGTCACATACATATAGGCACATACACCATGCGTATATAGAAACAAAATATTCCTATATAAAAATAAAAAAAAACATAGGAATGTACAGAACATACACATCTTTTACGTGTTGTGTTCCTTCAGAAACTAGGTGATCATGGCTCCCCACAACTTCCTTTATAACTTGTTTTTTTTTCGATATTATTCCCTATCAATATTTTGCTATTCATTTATACGAACTCGTTAGGTAGATTACTTATTAATTTCCACTGTTCCCTTTAAAATACCGCGCGTGTTAAATTCTCCAAGCCTTCTTTCCATCCTTATGTGTACTAGATATTTTAACTCGGCGTGATTTTAAGTATAAAAATCGTTTTTATTTCCATTTTCCTTAAAACTTTCTTGTTGTTTACAAGTTTATTTTCAGCATCCTCCTATAGAATCACATTTCTCTTAACACAAATCTCTTCTTCATCTGTGAGGAAATTGTCCAGCATTCACTGCCATATAGAGATTAGATATCACATAGCCCACCAGCAAACTTTTCTATATTTCTAATGACATTCATTAGTAGGACCACATTTGTAATGCTTCAAGTCTCTTCTTCATCTGTGATGATATCGTCCAGTATTCATTGCCATAGAGGAGATTAGATATTACATAGCAGTCCAACACTTTATTCTTTGCTTCTAAGGACATTCATTAGTAAAGTCCCTTCTTCATCTGTGATGATATTGTCCAGTATTCATTGCCATAGAGGAGATTAGATATTACATAGCAGTCCAACACTTTTTTCTTTGCTTCTAAGGACATTCATTAGTAAAGTCCTTCTTCATCTGTGATGATATTGTCCAGTATTCATTGCCATAGAGGAGATTAGATATTACATAGCAGTCCAACACTTTTTCTTTTGCTTCTAAGGACATTCATTAGTAAAGTCCTTCTTCATCTGTGATGATATTGTCCAGTATTCATTGCCATAGAGGAGATTAGATATTACATAGCAGTCCAACACTTTTTTCTTTGCTTCTAAGGACATTCATTAGTAAAGTCCCTTCTTCATCTGTGATGATATTGTCCAGTATTCATTGCCATAGAGGAGATTAGATATTACATAGCAGTCCAACACTTTTTCCTTTGCTTCTAAGGACATTCATTAGTAAAGTCTTTTCTTCATCTGTGATGATATTGTCCAGTATTCATTGCCATAGAGGAGATTAGATATTACATAGCAGTCCAATACTCTTTTCTTTGCTTCTAAGGACATTCATTAGTAAAGTCTCTTCTTCATCTGTGATGATATTGTCCAGTATTCATTGCCATAGAGGAGATTAGATATTACATATCAGTCCAACACTTTTTTTTTGTTTAAGGACATTCATTAGTAAAGTCCTTCTTCATCATTCATTAGTACATAGCAGTCCAACTTTTTTCTTTGCTTCTAAGGACATTCTCTTCTTCATCTGTGATGATATTGTCCAGTATTCATTGCCATAGAGGAGATTAGATATTACATAGCAGTCCAACACTTTTTTCTTTTTGCTTCTAAGGACATTCATTAGTAAAGTCCTTCTTCATCTGTGATGATATTGTCCAGTATTCATTGCCATAGAGGAGATTAGATATTACATAGCAGTCCAACACTTTTTTTCTTTTTCTTCTAAGGACATTCATTAGTAAAGTCCCTTCTTCATCTGTGATGATATTGTCCAGTATTCATTGCCATAGAGGGAGATTAGATATTACATAGCAGTCCAACACTTTTTCTTTGCTTCTAAGGACATTCATTAGTAAAGTCTCTTCTTCATCTGTGATGATATTGTCCAGTATTCATTGCCATAGAGGAGATTAGATATTACATAGCAGTCCAACACTTTTTCTTTTGCTTCTAAGGACATTCATTAGTAAAGTCTCTTCTTCATCTGTGATGATATTGTCCAGTATTCATTGCCATAGAGGAGATTAGATATTACATAGCAGTCCAACACTTTTTCTTTGCTTCTAAGGACATTCATTAGTAAAGTCCCTTCTTCATCTGTGATGATATTGTCCAGTATTCATTGCCATAGAGGAGATTAGATATTACATAGCAGTCCAACACTTTTTCCTTTGCTTCTAAGGACATTCATTAGTAAAGTCTCTTTCTTCATCTGTGATGATATTGTCCAGTATTCATTGCCATAGAGGAGATTAGATATTTATATAGCAGTCCAACTTTTTTTCTTTGCTTCTAAGGACATTCATTAGTAAAGTCTCTTCTTCATCTGTGATGATATTGTCCAGTATTCATTGCCATAGAGGAGATTAGATATTAGAGTCCAACATTACATAAAGTCCCTTCTTCATCTGTGATGATAGTCCAACACATAGAGGAGATTAGATATTTTTTTTTCTTTGCTTCTAAGGACATTCATTAGTAAAGTCCCTTCTTCATCTGTGATGATATTGTCCAGTATTCATTGCCATAGAGGAGATTAGATATTACATAGCAGTCCAACACTTTTTTCTTTGCTTCTAAGGACATTCATTAGTAAAGTCTCTTCTTCATCTGTGATGATATTGTCCAGTATTCATTGCCATAGAGGAGATTAGATATTACATAGCAGTCCAACACTTTTTTCTTTGCTTCTAAGGACATTCATTAGTAAAGTCCCTTCTTCATCTGTGATGATATTGTCCAGTATTCATTGCCATAGAGGAGATTAGATATTACATAGCAGTCCAACACTTTTCTTTTGCTTCTAAGGACATTCATTAGTAAAGTCCATTCTTCATCTGTGATGATATTGTCCAGTATTCATTGCCATAGAGGAGATTAGATATTACATAGCAGTCCAACACTTTTTTCTTTGCTTCTAAGGACATTCATTAGTAAAGTCTCTTCTTCATCTGTGATGATATTGTCCAGTATTCATTGCCATAGAGGAGATTAGATATTACATATCAGTCCAACACTTTTTTCTTTGCTTCTAAGGACATTCATTAGTAAAGTCCCTTCTTCATCTGTGATGATATTGTCCAGTATTCATTGCCATAGAGGAGATTAGATATTACATAGCAGTCCAACACTTTTTTTCTTTGCTTCTAAGGACATTCATTAGTAAAGTCTCTTCTTCATCTGTGATGATATTGTCCAGTATTCATTGCCATAGAGGGAGATTAGATATTACATAGCAGTCCAACACTTTTTTTTCTTTGCTTCTAAGGACATTCATTAGTAAAGTCTCTTTTACATCTGTGATGATATTGTCCAGTATTCATTGCCTTAGAGGAGATTAGATATTACATAGCAGTCCAACACTTTTTTCTTTGCTTCTAAGGACATTCATTAGTAAAGTCTCTTCTTCATCTGTGATGATATTGTCCAGTATTCATTGCCATAGAGGAGATTAGATATTACATAGCAGTCCAACACTTTTTTCTTTGCTTTAAGGACATTCATTAGTAAAGTCTCTTCTTCATCTGTGATGATATCGTCCAGTATTCATTGCCATAGAGGAGATTAGACATTACATAGAAGTCCAACACTCTTTTCTTTGTTTCTAAGGACATTTCATCAGTAGATCCGCATTTCCGTTGCTTCAAGTCTCTTCTTCATCTATGAAGAGATTATCCAGCTCTCACTATAGAAAGATTGATATCACATACCTATTTGGCAGTCTTTGCTTCTAACGAAATTTTCTTATTTCTTAAAGTTGAGTATAAGCTCACAGACATGGGCATGGGGATTGGTATTCAAGCCCAGGAAAAATAAGCTTTCAGCTGCCGTGTTTCAAAAGTAAGCAAGCCCTTCCTATTGAAGATTAGCACAACAATTAGTTTTAACGCCTTTGATTTGAACTTATGCTATACTAATATAATTTACACAAAACACTGTTTAATAAAATCCTATATTTATACCGGATTTTATTTTATTAAAGTGGTGGGTTTCTTATTTTAGGTACATCAAACATATTCTTATAACGCTTCTTGTAAATAGATTTAATGGCGTCATATCCACGATAGATTTTACTTCTGAAAACGAAAAAGGAAATACTAATTAATCTCCCTAGATATTATGCCATGTATTACTAATGATGTCTTCCAACTAAAAGCTTACAGAATCTCAACCAATAAGAGGGATTCCAAAAACTATTTTCACAAAGGACTGCATTTGAATTATAATTCTCTTCATTCTTCCTGCATTTACAAAATAAATAAAAAAAAGAGATTTATATTTATTTCATACAGAATCAGGAAAAATTGAGGTGAGTTGAGATAGTGTAGTTTCCCTAAAATTGTTGCATGCGTAATCTATCTATCTATCTATCTATCTATCTATCTATCTATAAAGGGTGTTTTTTTTTACACAGATTATATAAGGGTGTTTCATTAAGATGGATCAAAGTGAGCAGTAAATAAATCAGTGTTATTGTTGAAAATTTATTTATTTCTATATTGTATCATTTAAATCATGGCAATTATGTGTGAAAAATGATATCACCCAAATGTCCGCCAAATCTGAAAGAAAAAAAAAATCAGTAGACGCTTAAACTTAAATCACATTCAAATCGGTCCATGTTAATGGAACACGCGTATATATATATATATATATATATATATATATATATATATATATATATATATTATTATTATTATTATTATTATTATTATTCGGACTATTTTCCTCATCTTTGTTGCCATATTTATTACAACGTTTCGGCCGTTGTACGCTCCGGCCTTCTTCAGGTGGTTGGAATGTCGAACTGAACCCTTTATTTCGCTCACTGGGGTAGACTGTTCTAGTTCCACGTGCCATGTCTAATGGATGTCAGTTATCAGTTATCTCCTGTTAAGAGAACTTTCCGAGGAAAATTAAAGATGAGGACAATAGTCCGAATAATGTAAATAATGTACATAATACCTCATCTCAGAAATATAGACAGATATATATATATATATATATATATATATATATATATATATATGTATATGTATTGGAGGGGATGTATGAAAAGTGGATATATATATATATATATATATATATATATATATATATATATATATATATATATATATATATATATATATATCTGTGTGTGTATTGGAGACAAAATATGACGAAGTGGAAAAGGACTTCATCGAACTAAATTTGTTATGTTGGTGCGACTACGCATGCACACGGACGAGGGATACTGGGAATTAAAAATTTAAATATTTTCTTTTTCTATTTTTCTTTTTATTTATCTAGCCGATTTCATTTAGATGTTTCGAGAATGCCTTGATCGCAAGATCATCTACAGTAAATTTGTGCCCCAGACTCTTACAACATTTTCGCCATTCCTGGCAAAACTTCTGTTATCACAGTGTGGGATATCTCCTAACAAACGTGAGAAAAAGAAAAAGAATCTAAATGAAATCGGCTCGATAACAAAAAATTAAATTTATGTATCTATTTATTTATATATATATTTATATTTATAAATGTATGTCTGCGTGTGTCTGGGTGTCTGCTACAAAAAAAACATTCAAAACATTGAAAAACACACTAACATGGATAGTTATGGACAGACTTAGATAAATAAGTAATTTATTCAGGTACATATGTACAGTTTTCGATAGATAGATAGATAGATAGATAGACAGATAGATATGAGAGGACTTAGATTATACTTTTAATATTAAGTAATTGGCATATTAATATACCTTATATATATATATATATATATATATATATATATATATATAGAGAGAGAGAGAGAGAGAGAGAGGATGAGAGAGATGGAGAGAGATAGACACATATATACATATACATACATACATACATACATACATACATACATACATATAAGTGGTAATCGATAGATAGATAGATAGATAGATAGATAGATAGATAGAGAGATATGAGATTATACTTTTAGATTTAATACTAATTATAATATTATATATATATATATATATATATATATCTATATATATATATATATATATATATATATATAGAGAGAGAGAGAGAGAGAGAGAGAGGGAGAGATAGACACATACATATATACATACATACATATAAGTGGTAATAGATAGATAGATAGATAGATAGATAGATAGATAGATAGATAGATAGATATGATTGGTGAAAAGTTAGATGTTTCTTTAATTTGGTTAGTTTTCGTATTTGAAATTAATTTAATTAAAATTCGGTTTAGATATTGTAAGTAACAAAATTCGTTTTCCTGCCTGCATTTGCAGTTCGGTTTCTCGTCTGCATAAATAAATAAATAAATAATATAACTGAATCAATTCATAGGTAAAAATAAATGACATATTTGGAAATGTTAAAACCGCCAGCATAAAGACACAAGCCCATTGATAAGGGCTTACATAACCCGAAAGACATTGGACAGTACGTATTTATGACTGGACCAGAAGCCAGGAATGTGTTCTGACATAGAGAAAAAAAAATAATGAGCAAGCCATTAGAGACTTTCCTATATAAATTGTTGCCCAAATACGCTCAATATATTTGCCTGTATATGTGCGTGTGTTTGTAATTATGTGTGTGTTCTCACGAGGTTTTATATATGTATGTACGTATGTATGTACGTATGTATGTATGTGTGTGTGTGTGTGTGCTTGTAGGATGTATAATAGTATCCGAAACAAAACTGAGACAAAGTTGAATTTTTTTTAATGAAAGACGCGTTTCGCCGGAGAAAGTGTGTGTTGTCCTTGGCTTCATCAGTTTGGAAGACAAAACAGTGTGAGGAAAAATGTCTTGGTATCTCTGAGGACAAGTGGACATCACAGATCAAATTAATTGCCTCTGATTTTCACCTTCTGATTAAGGCTTGAATGCATGTATGCATGTATGTACGTACGTACGTATGTGTGTATGTACGTACATACGTACCTACGTATGTACGTCACTTCATATGTACCGCGTGTAACAGCGAAATTGTCCAAATTGTGTAACAGCAAAATTGTCCAATTGCTAGATTAAACTTTGAACCGTTGTATCTTAGAAGTAATTAAAAATATTTTACTGGAATTCTCCGAGGTTTTTACAACACTATTGGACTCTACTTTGAGCAATAAGAATTTATAATTACCCTCACAGAAAAATCGTGATGAAATCGATCATAAATGAAAATGACCTGTTAATCCTTAATTCATCATAGGAAGCTCACGAAGGATTGAAATAAAGTTCAAATATATATATATATATATATATATATATATATATATATATATATATATATATATATATTCCAAGATCATTTTCTAACTGCCTCACACGTTTCACGTAAGATTTCATTTTCAAGTCTTCTTTTTCACTGATCTTTCAACTGTCATCGCTGAAACTCCTCTCTTACGTGCAAAACGTATTACGAATTGAGTTGGATCTTTTCTAATTGATCGCTTTAGTTCTACGTTGAAATGATGATTCCTCTTCTTGTGACCTCCTGATCCAGTTTTCCTCTCTACTGTTTCCTCTTTTTAAAACTTATTCACTGTTCTCTTGATGGTTCTTGATTAGACTTTGAAGATGGAAGCCAGAGTATGAGTGTTGGTGCCATTACTGAAGGCCTGAATGATCTTTTTCCTCTCACCATTGCTCAGTTGGTAAGACATAGGGCTGATACAAAACGATTTTGACCTGTTCTTGTGTGAATGGATGACAGAAGAGGAATTAGGAGAGATAGAACCTCCCCCAAAAAAAAAACAAACAAACAAAACAGACAATATAAACTCTTCTAAAGGCATGAAGGAGGGCTATAATCACCCATATTTTGAAGGGACACGACACATAGAAAAAGAAGAATTCTGGCCGACCTAAACGTAACCTAAAGCGTATTCTTCTTTTATGTACCGTGTTCCTTCAGGGCGTACGCGATCATGACTCTCCACATCTTCCTGCTCCTTGTAGATCTTAATAAGTTTTGTCTTTTTGTTGTTTCTCCCAACTCCTGTTCCGCCATCCATTTGCTCACGTGCATCAAGTATATTACGCACAGCTTTCCTTTCTTGCCTTTATCTGTCCTGTAAGTATCTGATTTTCCAAGCCTTCTTTCCTCATTACGCGCCGCAGACATTCCAACTGCCACTTCCTGATGTTAAGTATAAGTTTCTTCTTTGTTTCCATTCTCTCCAAAACCTCGTCGTTGCTCACATGTTCGGTCCATGGTATCCCGAATCTTTTTGCATTAAAGCATTATGGAGTTAATAATTGTTAGGTTTCATTGCGCCAACGAGTGGAAACAATTTCACGCTCTAAACATACAAATGGTTTGAACGCTAAATACTTATGATTAAGCTTGCTCTTCGACAGAGTGTATAATGAAGAGACTGCGCCCGAAAACAAGCAGGTAAAACTAATTGTTGATATAGTCATTAGATGAACGAGACCATGTGCCAGAGTCGTAATGCCTATGATTAAATTGCTTTGTCTAAATATGATAAATGAGCAATGCGAAGGTAGAAATATAAGATGGGGTTTCTTTAACGGATAGGCTGATAATGAGTGACAGTGGTACGGGTATTGAGTACATACGTGTTTGGGTAAACTACTGAGGGACACACAGACTGAAATAGATACGTGGAGAGTTCTCCGTTTGAGTGGAGTAACCCGGAGAAATATGCGGGTGTTCAATGTTTTTATTCTTTTAAACTCTGTGCGTTTTCTGTGTGCGTGATCTTCATTTGTATTTGCATGAAGGTTTATATGCAGATGTGTCTCTAAATTTGCCACATCGATGTAAGAAAGTGGGTAAACATTCATAAAGTGCACCATCTTCCGATCTCGTTCTACTTTTTTGTGTGTTGAATATGAAACTATTGATCAAGGTCTGTTCATATCTATCTATCTATCTATCTATCTATCTATCTATCTATCTATCTATCCCATTGGGTCCATTATCTATCTATCTATCTATCTATCTATCTATCTATCTCATTGTGTCCATTATCTATCTATCTATCTATCTATCTATCTATCTATCTATCTATCTATCTATCTATCTATCTCATTGTGTCCATTATCTATCTATCTATCTATCTATCTATCTATCTATCTATCCCATTGTGTCCATTATCTATCTATCTATCTATCTATCTATCTATCTATCTAAAACTGTATATGCGTACCTGAATATATTAATTATTTTCCAAGTCTGTTCATAACTATTCTTGTATTTTTCAATGTTTTGAAAGTTTTTTCGTAGAGTGCGCGCGCGCGCACACACACACACATATATATAGCTCAGTCTGTTCATATCTATCTATCTATCTACATTATCCGGACTGTTATCCCCATCTTCATTGCCATATTCACAACGTTTCGGTTGTACGCTCCAGCCTTCTTCATGTGATTGGAATTTCGAATCGAACCCTTTATTTCGTCCACCGAGACAGATTGTTCTAGTTCTACGTGCCATGCCTCTTCCGGATGTCTCAGATATTTGCGTTTAACTCAGCTCTCCAAATTTTAGGTTCAACACTGCTGTGGCCTGGTATTGAACTCACAACTCTTTCGGTCTAGTCACTGGATCTAACCAACGTCTTTATCCACAGGGCCATATGTCCTTAAGGAGCGTACAACGACCGAACTGTTGTGAATATGGCAATGAAGATGACAACAACAGTCCGAATAATGTAAATCATGTAAATAATCATAATACCTCATCTCAGCGTTATTGACATCTATCTATCTATCTATCTATCTATCTATCTATCTATCTATCTAATTCTGTTCATTATCTATCTATCTATCTATCTATCTATCTATCTATCTATCTAATTCTGTTCATTATCTATCTATCTATCTATCGAAAAATGTTTATGTGTACCTGAATATATTACGTATTTAATGTTTGAAGCTAAGATGAAGGGGGTCGAATCATACACGAGATATAAAATTAGCGTATGTACTGCTGGTCCTGGCTGAGCCGTTGACCCAAGTATATATCCATTTGCTGTAGTCAAAAAGTACAGCTGTATTTAAAATAAACGTGATTGTGAAAAAAACTGATGTTAACTACTTAACTGTATCCAATAATAATCCCCGTAATATTTACATATTAGCATCGTTTTATAAAATACAAACATAGCAAATATGCATCTTTACCGTTGTTTACGTTTGTAAGATGTTTAGCTGTTTTTCGTTCGGCTGTTTATAGCGGTACGCCTTTACGCAACGAGTATAGCGTTACTAATGATACTTTTATCATTCTCTTTTAGTTTGAGCTAATTTAACACGAAGATGGGATAAA